ATCTTAGGTGCGAAGATTCACTTATTGCATTTGAGATTTTCCTTCTTTTTATGAATATAGGCTTTACAGTTACACATTTTTCTTGAGAGAACTATATTTCATAAGTTTTACTTTATCGCCACAAATTTCATAAATTGGAGTCTGTGATTTTTTTTTTTTTTTTTTTTGACCAGAGGCTTGCTCTGTCACCCAGGCTGGAGTGCAGTGGCTCACTGCAACCTCTGCCTGCTGAGTTCAAGCGATTCTCCTGCTCAGCTCTCCCAGGTAGCTGGGATTACAGAACCGTGCCACCATATCAGGTAATTTTCTTTTTTTTTTTTGAGACGGAGTCTGTCTCTGTCGCCCAGGCTGGAGTGCAGTGGTGCCATGTCAGCTCACTGCATCCTCTGCCTCCTGGGTCAGTGATTCTTCTGCCTCAGCCTCCCTAGTAGCTGGAACTACAGGGCATATGCTACCCACACCTGGCTAGTTTTGTTTTTTTTGTTTTGTTTTGTATTTTTAGTAGAGTGGGGTGTCATCGTGTTACCAGGATGGTCTCAATTTCCTGACCTCGTGATCCGCCTGCCTTGCTCCCAAGTGCTGGGAATTTCCACCATGCCCAGCTAATTTTTTGTATTTTTTAGTAGAGACGGGGTTTCACTGTGTTAGCCAGGATGGTCTCGATCTCCTGACCTCGTGATCCGCCTGCGTTGGCCTCCCAGAGTGCTGGGATTACAGGCAACAGTTTTTAACTTAAACTCTATTTTGTGTGATACTCATATAGGTAGTCCAGCTTTCTTTTGGTTATTGTTTGCATGGAATATTTTTCTATCCTTTTGCTTTCAGCTTATTTGTGTCTTTATTTTATTTTTTTAGAGACAGGGTCCCACTCAGTCGTCCAGGCTGGAGTGCAGTGCTGCAATCATAGCTTACTGTGACCTTGAGTTCCTGGACTGATGGGATCCTCCCACCTCAGTCTCCCAAGTAGCTAGGACCACAGGAAAGCACCATCATGCCTGACTAATTTTTAAAATACTATTTGTGTCTTTTAATCTAAAGTGAGTCTCTTGTAGACAGCATATAGTGTATACTTAAAAAAATTTTTTCTGACAATTTCAGCCATTTTTTCAGTTACACAAAAAAATGAGTGTAACTCATTTACATCTAATGTCATTACTTCTAATTTGATTTTTTTTTTCTTTTGAGATGGAGTCTTACTCTGTCACCCAGGCTGGAGTACAGTGGTGCAGTCTTTGCTCACCACATCCATTACCTCCTGGGTTCAAGTGATTCTCCTGTCTCAGCCACCCAAGTAGCTGGGATTACAGGTATGCGCCACTATGCCCGGCTAATTTTTGTAATTTTAATAAAGGCAGGGTTTCACCATGTTGGCCAGGTTGGTCTCGAACCCCTGACCTCAAGCGATCTACCCACCTGCACTGCCCAAAGTGCTGGGATTACAGACATGAGTCACTGCACCTGCCTTGTTTTCTATATGTCATATCTTTTTGGTCCCCTCAGTTCCTCCATTACTGGCCTTCATTGCTTGTGTTAATATAGATGGTTTCTGTAGTTTAGTTTTATTTTTGAGACAAGGTCTTGCTCTGTTGCCCAGGCTGGGAGTGCGTCGGTGGCACGATTGTGAGCTCACTGTACCTTGACCTCTGGGCCTCAAGTGATTCTCCTGCCTCAGCCGTCCCCTGAGTATGAGCTGAGAACCTACCAGGCATGTTGGCAAACCATGCCCAGCTAATTGGTTTTTTACAGTTTGTTTTTTGATAGGAACAGGAGTCCTTGCTATGTTGCGCCCGAAGGTCTGGTCTTGAAACTCTTGCCTCAAGTGGACCTTCCTGCCTAACTTCCCAAGTGTTGGGATTAGTTAGGCAATGGAGCCACTGTGCCCCAGCTCTATGTGTTACCATTTATAATTCTCTGTTTTTTTTTTTTTTTTAAACATTACTAACACCAAACGGGACATTCTCTTGTTCCTTCTTGCCTCTAGTTCTTTTGAGCTATTTTCCTGAATTGTTACTTTTTCTCCCCACCTAGTGTCCAAGCCCCTCAAGAATCACCAAGCTAAAGGATATTAAGCATGCTGGATCTTTTGTAAAAGGGACGGTAAACCTTTCCATAGTGTGAATAATAAACCACTCCCTTGCTTGTATTTGTTCATAGTCAGTTGTAATTCAGATTGGTCACAATATTGTGTTTTCTAAGGAGTGTTGTGCCTTGTTTAATGTAGTATAACCATTGGTCAGGTAATAATGGATAAGGCCAGGAGATAGCGCCATTCAGGAGAGAACTGGCCAAAAACGATGCAGCACTTTCTCTGGGTGTAAAAAGGGCAGTGGTTTGGGTAGTTGTACCAGGGCCCGGTTAATGTTCTTTTTCAGCTCATTCTTGGAGAATCCGCAAGAACAGGGCCGTGTTGGAAGTCTTCCTCCACCCATGGGCCCATTGAGGGGCCAATGCTGTTGGGCGCTGGGACGGGGCCTATCCTGGGACAAAGGGTCTGTGCCACTGTGTTGCTCAGTGGGCCAAGGCTCAGGTGGCTCAAGCAGGCCTTTCCTGACGATCGAGCCGAAGAATAGCAGAAGGTAGGAGAAGTGAAGCTGTACACAAAGAGCGTGTTGCGGCATATGCTATTCCAGAAAGCAGTTGAAAGTCAGGACCCAGAAGAAGAAGAAGGCATTAAATTTGGAACAGCATTTAAGTTCTGAGTGTTCACAAATATATATTAAAATTTCATGCAGCATTTAAAGTGCTTTCACATGCATGATTGGCAGGAAGACTGAGGACAAGTGAATGGTTATTTTAACCCTATAGAGCCAAGTACCAGGCTAGAAGTCAGGACTTAAAGACCATTTTTTGGTTTTTGGTTTTTGTTTTTTGAGACGGAGTCTTGCTCAGTCGCCCAGGCTGGAGTGCAGTGGTGCGATCTCAGCTCACTGCAAGCTCCACCTCCCAGGTTCACACCATTCTCCTGCCTCAGCCTCCTGAATAGCTGGGACTACAGGTGCCCGCCACCATGCCCGGCTAATTTTTTTTTGTATTTTTAGTAGAGACAAGGTTTCACCGTGTTAGCCAGGATGGTCTTAATATCCTGACCTCGTGATCCACCTGCCTCGGCCTCCTAAAGTGCTGGGATTACAGGCGTGAGCCACCAGGCCTGGCCTTTTTT